CGGTTTGCTCCCTGTTCTGCAATTCTCTAGTTCCCTTCCGAGTGGCTTGCTCCTTGTTTTCAATTTCTCTAGTCTCTTTCGAGCGGTTTGCTCCCTGTTCTGAAATTCTCTAGTTCCTTTCGAGTGGCTTGCTCCTTGATCTAATTTCTTTAGTCTCTTTCGAGCGGTTTGCTCCCTGTTCTGAAATTCTCTATCTAGTCCCTTTCGAGTGGCTGGCTCCTTGTTTTCAATTTCTCTAGTCTCTTTCGAGCGGTTTGCTCCCTGTTCTGCAATTCTCTAGTTCCTTTCGAGTGGCTTGCTCCTTGTTTTCAATTTCTCTAGTCTTTGCTCCTTGTTCTGAAATTCCCTAGTTCCTTTCGAGTGGCTTGCTCCTTGGTTTCAACTTCTCTAGTCTCTTTCGAGCGGCTTGCTCCCTGTTCTGCAATTCTCTAGTTCCTGTCGAGTGGCTTGTTCCTTGTTTTCACTAGTCTCTTTCGAGCGGTTTGCTCCCTGTTCTGAAATTCTCTAGTTCCTTTTCGAGTGGCTTGCTCCTTGTTTTCAATTTCGCTATAGTCTCTTTCCGGGCGGTTTGCTCCCTGTTCTGAAATTCTCTATTTCCTTTCGAGTGGTTTGCTCATTGTTTTCAAATTCTCTAGTCTCTTTCGAGCGGTTTGCTCCTTGTTCTGAACTTCCCTAGTTCCTTTCGAGTGGCTTGCTCCTTGTTTTCAATTTCTGTAGTCGCTTTCCGGGCGGCTTGCTCCCTGTTCTGAAATTCTTTAGTTCCTTCCGAGTGGCTTGCTCCTTGTGTTCAATTTCTCTAGTCTCTTTCGAGCGGTTTGCTCCCTGTTCTGAAATTCTCTAGTCCCTTCCGATTGGCTTGCTCCTTGTTTTCAATTACTCTAGTCTCTTTCGAGCGGTTTGCTCCCTGTTCGGCGACTGCGGAGCAGCCCTTAAATCGGGCTGCACTCGGTCCCCGAGCGCGTGCGCCCTGCTGATCCGAGCCTCAGGCCACATGTATCCTTGCGAACTTTGCTTCAGTAAAAGGCGCGACCGCCGGTGCCGCCGACCCCACCTAATTTCGAGTTTTTGTTGCGTAAGTTTGGGGTAGCCATGGGTAGCCACCAAAGGGCGCGCATCATGAGCATCAGCGGCCCCAGTCCGGGACCCGGGGCACGCATCGTCAGCATCAGTGCGGCCTTGGGCACTCGGGGGAGGCGGGGGTTCCCCCTGTCCTTCTCAAATGTGGTTCTAGATCGGGTCGCGGTTTGAAGCTCAAGTTTACATCGGTTCGTCCCTGCTGCTACCTGCGCTGCCCGCCGTTGGGCGCAGCCCCTAGAATTAGGATTAAGGTTGAAGAAAGAAAGTTTGGGCTTTCTCCGAGGCGTCCTCAGGTTTAGAATCTAGATCACATCGCCTTTCCTTCGGTGTGTTGGCTCCACTCGAAAACCCCAAAGTGATCAGACAAGGTCTTGACTTACGCTTCTCCGGGATCGAGGCCAGCGGGCTCAAACTTGGGAGACGGCTTTTGTTGGGCGTTGTGATCTGTTTTTTCCCTGAGCACGTAGGGTTCTTCATTTCGGTTAAAGCTGTTGAAGTTAAAATGGCGAACCTACACCCCAAACCCGATGCAGGCTCACGGTTGGTGTGGTCCCAAACCCTGAACACAAGAAACCCTAAATGGGCAGTTCTCTAACTTAGGGCCCCTTTTAGAGTCCTCTTTATAAGTCTGGCGTACTATTTTGGGCACCTAAACCGGGACCCGGAGAACTACCCAAATCCGGGCCTCCATCAGCGCCAGGCTCGCTTGCCAGGCGCCCCGTGCTCCGGCCGCCCGGAGCGCAGTGTTGAAGCTGACGAGGTCCTACGGTTTAGGGTTTAGGCTTAGGGTTTAGGGTTTAGGGTTTAGGTTTAGGGTTTAGGGTTTAGGGTTTAGGGTTTAGGGTTTAGGTTTAGAGTTTAGGTTTAGGGTTTAGGGTTTAGGGTTTAGGTTTA